GCAGCGATGGTCTTTTGTTTATTCAGCAACTTGGAAATTTCAAACGCCATTTTATTAAATGAAAACTTTGTATTCAATTTAATTCTTTGTCGCATAATAATAATTGTACCAGGCCGTTCCACAACAACTTTTCGATTCTGGAGAGTAAATTTTGTTCATCGCCGACAGTTAAGCTGACCATTACAAAGTATGTCCGTTTAACAACAGGCCGAAAACGAAGCCAATTAATACTCCAAAAAGAATTCACTTGTGAATGTAAACATTCTTTGCAAAAAAGTTTGTTGTTAGGTCTGGTTTTTACAGTATCTTTTTAAACGATATGTGTTGAGTTGTGGTTGATTTTCTGAAAATAGCGACTAGTGCTGTTTTTATAATAAAATCGTTTACTATGCTTAATATTAAAATTTTTAGAGCTCATTGACTGCAACACACGTCGGTGAGATATCAATATGTAGGTTACACGTATGAATCAGCTTCAAAACGAAGTCTACGTAATACTTTTAAGCTACTAATCATATTATCGCATTCGGCAAACCATCAAACTTACGAACAAACAAAACATCATGGCTACTTATGAAAAGTCGAACATGAGTCAGAAGACGTGAGGAAAGAAGTTGAATATGGGTAGATTGGAATAATTGAGGAGTGGGACAACACAGCCCAGTGGCATGTGAGCTGGCGAACTTGAGGAGGAAAGAAGAGAGTCTGGAAGCAGAGAAGGGGGTGTGGAATGTGCAGGTAGCATTTTTACAGAGAAAACTGACAGAATTACCCAACCAGGTAACGACTTTGTGACTCGTAGAGTGGACATTGCAATAGACAGTGTGTAAATAATTTCCTTCGGTAAATAAACAAAGCAATGCTTTATCACAAACACGTCTTTATTTTTAATTAGCTGCCATTTCGATAAACGTGCTTTAAAGATATAAATTTCGGAACTACCCATTGTTTCTCTCCCGCCCTTTTACTATCATGGTTCAACTCTAGACTAGAGGCACAGCGACAAACAATTCTCCATTACTGGCTTAGCGGCATCCAAATCGCAAAAGAGATACAGTGCATTAAAAAACTACCATTTTCTTCGTACTGTCGCCTATAACCTTAAAAAAATTCAAGATACGAAAACCGTTCGTTCTTCGAAGATTACACAAAGTATCGCTGTGCATAGGAACTCTGCTGTATCAACACGGTAACTTGCATTAAAGGTACAAAAAACGCAAGAAATTTCAATCTTACATGCTGCTATTTAGCGGCATATGAAAAAAAAAAGATTACAAAAGCTCCGCATATTGAGATACAAAGATATGGCAGCGGGACAATTGGTGCCGAACAATATTCACTGCATTTGACCTCTTCCGAAACAAGGTCCGTCAGTGGCATAAAGGCGGTAAAAAACCCATACTAATACGGCGATTGCCAAAATCGCGACAAAAAGTAATGGCGTGGGGGGGGGGAGTATTTTGCGAAAGGGAAGAATGCCTTTGTTCTGCTTTACAAACATAATGGATAGCCCTTTCTACGTAAACGTATTACGGACTCAGCTTTTGCTAGCTTCCCAAATAATGTATGGCGTTTACAACAAGACAATAATCCAAAGCACACATGTGTTGCTAAGGAATTCATGGTCGAAAATGGGATTTGAGTCATAGACTGGCCATTCAATAGTCCAGACTTGAATCCCATTGAAAACATGTGGCACATGATAAAAACGATGTTGAAAAACATATGCCAAAAAATATTTGAGGAATTGAAAAAGTTTATGGTTGAGGAGCTGGATGTGATCTTAGATGAGACAGTGAATAATGTGGGGGCTATCAATGGAAATAGGTGTAAACTTGTTTTGTAGGAAAATGGTGATAGAATTTTATACTGAAAATTTTATGAGTAATAAAATATAAAATAGGTGATAAGCTTTCTTATTTTGGCAAACCTGAAATTGTTTAACCATTTTATGTAATTGTTGAGCTACACCATTTTTTCTGAATGCAATTATTTTCATTACATACTGTTATTATTGCATCATTGCACAAGTTATTTTTTTTTGTTGTCCTTCAGCTGTAGTATCATAAATCTCATACAACTATTGCACTTCGCCCCTATTCTCCTCCCCCTCCCTCTTTTATAGTATTAGTAGATATAGATGCTCTATTACACAGAACACAAACATGAATCATGACATGGGGCATGCTGCAACAAAACCAACAAAGTGAACATTCTATAAATGAGAGGCTGATTGTGATGTGGTTGTAAAATTGACCAGTGTGACTGATGACATTTTGAAAAGTAATAATGTAAATAGTGCTCATAACTTATGGACTTGCTAATTTAATGCTCACTTTATCATACTTGAATATACAGTGTGTTACAAAGAAAAATGGCAAAAACACTTTTGATTGTTGTGCTATGATAGACGGAGTAATGAATAAGCTTTATATGTTGTTTAATACCACGTAGCTTATGAGCAGAGGTTTTATTATTACAAATTTGATTGAGTATTTCTTCACAAATACTTCTCATATTTAGTTTATGTTTCCATCTAACCAATTTCCACAAATTGATTAACATTTTATCAGAAATAAAATCTCATTTTCTCTACTATAAGCATATTAACTTTCCACAACTTTCGGTCACACTTTTTCTCTATTTATATTATTTTGGCCAAACTCTATAAATTTTAATGAAATTTTAAGCGCTTTACTATTAACAGGTCACAGTCCCCCGCAGTCGTCATGATCGATTTAATTTTAGAATAGTAACACTAGATTGAGAGGAAATAATTTTGATTTTTCAAAAATTGGTGACGAGACAGTACAAAAAGCTAAAGGAAAAAAATTAGCATTTCTAAAATTGGCGAAAGTGACGACAGCGGCGATAGAAAAGATATATGAGCGACTCTATTCCATCGTTAACCCTCATGCTGTGTATGCTGTACGTTGTTTGATTGTTCTCAATAATCCATGGAAATAAATATTTGTTCTCTTTTAATTTTAAATCCTGTATATTTTATTTCTTTCTACCGTTATCTTCGCTTGAATTTTTAACTAATTTATCCGGAGAATACCTACATAGTCCTTAGGCGAAAAGGTCAGGTAGTCAGAGCCCATTCAGGCTTACGAAACTGTCCGCTGAGCGAGTACGTAATAACAGAAAGCGAGTTTAGGTAATTATTGTAGCGCGTCGATAATAGATTTTAATTGTTTAATTAGTTTAGGAAACAAGTAACGTATAAACTGACTAGTCAATACACTGGATCGGAGACCGCCCTGTTTTAAAATTAGAAACAATTTATTCCCCTTCGATTCCGTCGTAAATTATAGTTGTTAATGGCACGTGTCGCATAAATCCGTCCGTGGACTCATAATTTGAATATATGGCGTTAATTGGTGCCATAGCTTGCGGAACGCATCATATTTTACAATTTTAATGTGCTATCGTTTTCGAGACGTGCAATAAAATTGCGATAAACCGATTTATAACTTGTTTCATCTGGCAAAAGTGTGAGCGATTGACATTTCTACCGGGACTTGGTAATCCATGAATTTCAGCGTAATTATCGAGAAAATTTTTCACAGATGTAGCAACTGTTATATCAATTGTTATTTGGCTTTCCATCGCGGTATGGTGCAAAGCACCTATAGTCATCAAAGATGTAGATCAGTCCGAAATTTTCGAATGTCGATATTCACGTGATATTATCAAAATCGTAAATTTTATTGGCTAACATATAATTCGGTGATATTTATCGGCGATAATGATCTTTAAGCCATTATTACTATCATTTGCAACATTATGCCCTACATTCACACTAGGCAAGCATTTTGAGTAAAGATGAACCTGTGTAATTTCTTTGAATATGAGATTAGATTGTTTCAATGACATACGTGATCAAAGTATTCACTATTATTGCCTCACCTTTGCTTATATAGAATCCTGTATGAACAAGCATGGACTTTAAACATTGTCCGTAACATTTTACTGAAATTTGTTTGTTTAAGGCAAATGAATATTACCAGTTTGAATATTAATCTGTAATAATGGAATTTGCTATTCGAGGTCACGTGATTTTAAAGATTTTTATTGGTCAAATTCCGAATGATGGGCGTCCGAAATTCGAAGATTAATAATAAAAGCGTCCGACTTTAATCCCTAATAACTTTTCATAATATAATGTAATTAAAAAAGTAAACCGTAAATCTGAAAGAGAATCATTAGATCTAACGTTTTTACGGTTTACATTTTTAATATTGTTTAAATTGGTGGACTAGATAGGTTTTAAAGTTGCATGAATTTGTTTGATGACTATAGGTGCTTTGCACCATACTCGTCTAATGCTCCTGTGAATGCGCGGTATTATACCATATGATTTTTGACATTTTTGAAGTGCGACCAGTTCCTAACATATTAATATTGAGATACGTTTTCTGACGATCTCAGTAGTAAAACGTCGCTTATTAGTACGCGTTTTCTTTCTAAGACGTCGGCTGGCAGTTGTTTCTCTACATTCATTGCTTTCAGTTGGGCCATTAAAAATGTATCTTGTTCGGATCTAGAGAGAGCTTGGAATGCTTCACGTAATTTGGCAAAACTTTCTCTCGAAAATTTTTTTGAAAGCCACAATTGCAACCTATCTCTAAGAAACGCATGGCTTTTTCGTATTCAGTAGAACCATTGTAGTTGTTATTATTCATAACATTCATATACGGTAATCATATATGTTGGTATCACGTGAGTCTTTAGTTGCTTTTCTGCTCAACCACTAGAACGAGAGACTGGTATGTAGAATTGTTACACAGGAATCGTGAGCAATAAATTTATTTGTCTATTATCATTCAGGCAATCACCATATGAGTAACAGATTACCTCTATTAACTTCTATATTGTCATTCTGCAATTTTTAAAAGATTGACTGTGCATGCTAGATACAACATTCGTGTAACATGGGGTAAATAGAAATCCCTTGCAATACCGGTCCGCATCTTCATTCAGTACGTTCATGAAGAATGACCAAAGCACAAGTAACGAAGATACCCATTTTAACAGCACCGAAAACTTATGCACCTATACAACATCCATCTCTCTCCGTCAAACAGGAAGAGATTTTGAATCGATTGTCAGACTACGTGAAGGAAATTTTACTAACTGATAGTGAGAAAGCATGGGCTAATGAGGCCTGTCTGCAGAGGTATTTAAGAGCATCAAAGTGGCATTTAGATGAGGCGATGGAGAGAATAAAGTATTCTTTGGAATGGAGGCGAACGTATAAGCCAGAACATATTGATCCGAAAGAAGTTGAGCCAGAGGTAAATATTAATTTGAAAGAAAAAACGTGACAAATTATACAAGTTTTATAAAATATTGGTTACATTATAAGTAAAACGGTAAATGATACATTTTAATATTTGTTGCGTCAACATATTTTCATCTTTCCGATCAAAGTCGGTCACTGGTAAAATGCATATCAATGGATTCGATAAACATGGAAGACCTATAATATATCTCCGCCCAGGCAGAGAGAATACAAAAGCAGGTCCAGGACAAGTCCGGCACGTTGTTTTCTATTTTGAGAGTGCCATCAGACTAATGCCCGAAGGTACCGAAAATATTGTAGTTTTGATTGACTTCCATGGGGCATCGGCTCGAACGAGCCCTGGGATTGGTATTGCAAAGGAGTTTATGCATGTACTAAGCTCACATTACCCAGAACAGCTTGGGTTAGCATTGGTTGTGAATGGTAGGTCGTATTTGGAATGTATCAAAGAATTGAATTTTATTGAAAAGTGAACATTTGTTGACAACTCTACGTTCTAGCTCCATGGTACTTCTGGGTATTTTTTCGTTTAATTTCTCCTTTCATTGATCCGGTTACAAAAGCGAAAATAAAATTCGTCGACTTGAATGATGGAACGAAAGCTGCAAACGGCGGTCAATGGACAACTTTGGATCAATTTATTAGCCAGGACATGCTTGAACGCGAATATGGAGGAAATAATGCCTTCGAATATCATCATGAAACATATTGGAGTGCCTTACTTGAGAAGACTAACAGGGAAACAACCCGTCAAGCTCTCAAGGATTGAGCCATTGCAATTATTTATCCTTGTATTGCTTAGAATATTTTCGTTCGCTAAACAGAATTGTCCTATTCTTCCCGAAAGGGTTTGGCTATTCGATAGAGAATCGTCGCTCAAATAAATTATTTTCTGGTCATTGCAAAAGCAACTTGATTAAGTTACTCCGGAAGCACAACGTTGCCTAACACCGAAAAGTGGGGTAGATAGATATTCTTTAGGTAGGGTATTTAGTTTCTATCCGAACTTGATAGCATTGTACAAGTGAAACCTGTTTAAACCGGCGCTGATTAAACCGGTCTCGGGTTTAACCTGCACCAAATTTTCATTAATTAGAACTTTCTCTAGTTAAACAATTTTCTGAACCGGTCTTTGGCTAAACCGGCAAAAAATCAGCAAACCAGGTCGAACCGGTTTAAACAGGTGTCACCTGTATATAAAAAATTAAGCCTGCTTTTCATGTTCGCCACTATATTCATAGCATTTCTTCGTAAATCGAAACGCGATGTTAATATTACTGATGAAGACGGCAGTCAATTGTACGGAAAACTGAACATATGAGAAACGGATTGTGGAGGTCCAAGAGCAAAGTCGATTCATTAATCCACACAACCAGCAAAAGCATTAAATTAGGTAGCTCCCTCAAACGGTAACCTCTGTGACTTATATTCACGGTTGATATTTGGTTGATTATATTGGAAGTCAATGAGAGTAGACAAAATAAATTATTTCTCTATCGTCCGCATTCACCACGTTGCATTGAAAGGTAAACAGTCTGATTTGCAGCTTGGGCAGACAGAGAACACATTCAGAAAAGCAGTTAACAGAAAATAATCTATGACCACATTTTCGTAAATGTACATTCCATAAATGCACATTCCATAAATGCACACTCTCCATAATACACGCCTTACCTATTTCCAAGCTCGGGAATTAGAGATAAATGCACACCCGCATTGCACGGTTTTAAATATCGAAAAGACGATGGCTACTGATGGTTACTAAGTCAAATTCAAAAAACGAAAGACGTGAAAATGGATGTGTTGCGGGCTGTCAATACATTATTATGAGTTGGGAAGAATTAATCTCTGACAATTAGCAATTATTGGAAACATACTAAATCCTTTAACTAATATCAATACTAATACTGAGATTCCTGACACGAATAGTGCCAATGCCTGGGAAGCCGACACAAGCTGTTAACGATCTTAATTTGCCCGATCGTCTACTGATTGATGAGTTCTTGAAGAAGAACGCACTTATGAAGTGTCTGATAAAGACAAATTAATTTAAGACATACAAACAACCATGTATTGATGATGGTGGTGATGATAGTATTGATCCTTCGATAAATGCTAACGACACTGCAAAGGATTTAGAAACCGTTCGTTCATTTCTGCAACAACAACAAGAGTCTAAAGAATTGCTAGAATACTTGGATGTTGCATCAGTTCAAAGTCTGCGAGTGTAATGAAGCAAACGATGATACTAGTCCATTATTGAGTCACGTGTAACCAATTAAATGCTGACCCTCTACAAATGCCTCCACGCTCCAAGCCATCCTCAAGGGCGTGCATTTATGGAGGGTTGACTGTATAAAGGAAAAAGGTTTCTGACATTAACCAGCATCCGCTGTAACAGAGGTTGACTATAAAGAGTTATTACGCACTAAAAAAATGTTGCAATGACGATTTTGCATTAATATTCGATTATTTTAAATAATAAAAATTTCTTTGGGTGTATGTTTTTAGGTAAAGAAATGACGAAGAACTAAAGTTGTGAATATTCTTCTTCCCAAAAGAGGTGCACAAAAAAAGAACAAGAAAGAAGATAACTATGAGAACATTAAATTTTATAAGAAATGAGAATCACACTATCTACACTAAAAATTTGACATTTTGATAGTCATACCATAAATTATGTGTCAAAAAAGTTTGAGTAAACGATTAATCTGTCGCCACAATACCCACCTCACTCTATATTGTTATTACTTTATAATTTGCATAATCTTTCTGGTTAATAATAAGAGCCGTTATTCATGATTGTTGTTCGCGGTTGTTGCTGTCAATCAGATTTTAACGGTGAGTTCTCTTTATTGCTCAATCAGCTGCCGCGAACTCTCGCAAAAAAATTTTTTCCCTCTTATTTTGCCAAGCCACGTTCTAAAGTTTTAGGTTTTTTTTGTATTTACGACGATTTACGGTAATTTTTTGTTTCTATACTTTGGCTTCGTCTCTTGGTGTAATCAATTAATTTAATAATACGCCACTTTAGTTCTTATTCTTAGAGTGTTTTCTTTATTATTCACTTATAAAAGATTTTTTTTCTTTTCATGGAGAAAATGAAGTTATGTAAATATACGGGAGAATTTTTTAAAAAATTTTGGACAATTGGGATTTATTCTTGACGATTTATTGTGCATAATATATTCTAGAACTAATAAATAAATCGCAAAAAATTAAAAAAGAATGTATTAACGACGAACAATTCATTCAGCTATAAGTACTTTAATAGTGACGCCTAATAATAATAAACCCATTATTATGAAAGCAACATAATGAATATCTGCACACATAATTTGTGCTTTAATACAATAATACATCTCATGAAGGAAACTATTGAAGGACCAATGTATGAAATATGCTCCAGATTAAGATGAGAAACAAATTCGATGATAAATAATTCAATAGTAATGAGACTGCTGATGTGGTTAAAAGTTAACTAATTTGACTAATAACATTTGATTCATCTTACATATTGACTATATATATATACAGTGTGGGACAAAAAAACCGAATTACAAAATTACGCATTACCCAAGAATTAGTGGTGCATTTTATACCGTTTGAAAGCTGAAAACTAGCAAATTTCATTAAAAAATTTAGTATAGAACGCATTCACCGTCACTTTCTGTGACAAGCTCAAATCAGCGTTTTATTGATCGTACTAACCCAATTACATCATTTCTAAAACGCCGCGAGTCGCTAATATTTTCTTTTCTAGAGATTTTTAGGTCAGATTGTTAGAAGGCCAGTCCGCTATGTTGTCTGGAAAAACGGTTTTTACAAGGCGGCTGGTATGTTTTGGGTATTCTCTTGTTGGAAACGCTATTTGTCTCCTAATAAGTCTTAGTCGTCTCTAGAGTATGTCTACATAAAGTGTTGCATCCATTGTTTTGGAAAAATAATATAAAGTTATCTTATTCTTATGCAAAATTATCCTCAAGCAAAGATCTTTATTTCAACCCTTTAACATAAGGTTAGGGTTAGGGATACTGTTTAAGCTTTTAATATTATCATTAAATCATGCTACGTGGAATAACTTTGTCTTTATGAGTCTCCACACTATTCCGATGGTTTAAGCCCACACTTGCTCTAAAAACTAGTGATTAGTTCCTTGTCTGGAAGTCATCGTTCTAATTGATGTTTCTCGAAGAAATTATAGGAATGTTGAAGGAATTTAAGAGATAGGATTATAATTAGCGCAAAATACCTATAAATTAGCGGTTCAAAGGAATAAATATAAAAATCCTTACATTGTTTAAATCGACCTAAAATTGGTGGGATTGACCGTTTTTTTTGTCCCACACTGTATATAGAAACTATCTGTTCAAAAGAAAGAGGTCTCAAAGCACTTTCATTACTTAATATTAATATTAATCTAGCAATTACTTACTTATTTATGCAATAATAATAATAATAATCATAATGTTATTTTCAACATTTTTTGGTTAATTCTATCTGTTCAGGAGTGGCATATTAATATTTGTAATAAGTGTAGTGATATTAATATGATTATAGTCTTTCTTATACAGTCATACCTCAGTTATATCCCAGCTGCAATGCCGGACGAATTTCCCCTATTCTAATTCCATACAAATATGCCTCAGTTGTATTCCACTCAGATATATCTCTATCCCCACTTTATAACTCGTTCATATCCTCTAATAATATTACGTATTACACAGAAATCATATTTGTGGGAGATAAGTTGATTATTTGCCTCATTTGGTTATGTAATAAGCCGGGCGTAATATGAAGAAGCAAGAAGCAAGTATTTTTGTAATAGTAAAGGTGGATAGGGAAGCACTTGTGAAAGCCAGGAAGTTTTAGAACAAAAGAAAATCATGACAGAAAATGATATTGCGATACAATTAACCACTTAGATAAAACAATAGAAAGATTCAAAACGCCCGACATAATAATGGATTTATTAACTAATAAAGCCATGATATTTCTGTTGAAATGTTATACCTGTTGTATCCCACCTCAGATATATTCCCAAAATCTTGAGCCCAAAGGGATATAAACGATGTATGTAATTCAAGCAAATGCATATGCATCTCGCAGATTATTAGTTGAAAATAATTACTTGCACAACGCGCGTATTTGCTTGTTACTTCCTCTTTCCTTAAATTTTTGCAAAAAATTCAAGCAATTATTTATTCTTAGTGAAACGGCAGAGTTAACTAAATTTGAACGTAGAGCTATTATTGGAGTGTGGCTGGTTTTTGCAATTGTGGACAGCCGAATGTTGTAGCTGTAACGGAACGTTCAGACACGATCTATCAAAGTGTAAAGTTGACCGAACGCCAGAGACTAAAATACAATCTCCAATTTAGATGAGTGAATTGTTATAGTTTATGTGGTGTCATAATTTAGTAATACTATTCCAACCAAACACGCGTAAATATTCACTTAACAGTGATAACTTGTATAAATCGCCTTTATTGAATCATAATAAATAAGCTTATTATTATACTGGATTTTGTATAAACTTACAAAACTTTTTCATCCAAGAGTGTTGTTTTATAATACATTTTTGAGCAAGTATTACAATCTATCAGTCGCAAACAAGTTAAAACTAGTCCGACAGTATAAAGAAATAGCTGCCATTTCGCGAAAGTCAAATTGCTACGTATTATCTATTTTATCGCGTTCAAGTAAGTCTTCTGTTATCTCTTCAAATAACAAGTTATTGCGCTTCTTTCAATTGCAAGTCCGGAAAGA